CGGGGAGGAAGCGAGGAGGTTCGGCACCGGGGCGGGGGCACGAGCGGAGGAAGTGATGGCGATGGAAGAGGTGGAGGAAGGAGGCGTGGAAACCAAGCGGCCTGAGGAGGGTTGCAGACATGCTGGCCGGTGCGAGGTGACGAAATTTGCGCGAAGCGCATCGAAGGCCCGAGCCTGACGTTTGGACGCTGAAGAGGTAATCTCCCCCTTGGCAGGGGTAGGGGAGAAACCACGGGGGCGGGGCGACGAGGGGGAGGACTTGACCGCGTGTCGAAGAGAAGAAGATGTGTATTGTTTCAGGACTGGAGGTGCACACAGGGTTGTTCCACATTTTGTTCCTGGCTCTCCAAGGGCGACTTCTTCCTCCTCACCTCCCTCCCTGGTTCTGGCGGCGCATGCTCTGGCACGTTTTCGTCGAAACAAAACAGCAGTGGCGGCGCCCATTGGAGGAAGGTCAATGGTGTGGTTGGTATTTTCGACGACAGCTGATGTTATGCCTGCAGATGCGGGGTCATTTCTCACCCTACCTCTATCCTCCGTCGCCGGAACAACAGCACTCGGCGCCCTGCCTCCCTCGTCCTCCACAAAATCAAAGGCATCCATGGCCCCTGCCCAACTGCAGGATTACCTTCTGAGCATATGATAATGTGTGAGTTGCACGAGTCTGTGAGATGGAGGGCGGTTGTGTTCGCAACAAGTTCTCCAGGAACAAAAAGACAAGCAAAGTGACGTTCCCATAGAACACTCGCCGTTAGGGAAGCAACAAACAAAGGTGCACCATGGACAAGTCCAAAACCTGCGCAACTCACGAAAATGTACATACAGCCCTTCGCCACAAGTTCACCATCAAGTCGTGTGAGCTGAATGCTCGCTTATCGGACAGCTCTTTGACCAAAGCTTTTTTTGGGGTCCAGACGGACGCAAGCATCGCCGTGCTCACGCCCCGTGCATAGTCCTGTTTCCTGCAATACTGTCTGAAACTAGGACTTCCAGGCTTTCAAATGCCATCATATTCAGTTACATGGAATAAAAATCATTTATTTCGTGTGGCAGCGTAAAAATTACAAGTCATTATGGTTGGACATGACAAAATGTAGCCCTCTTGCCACGAAAAGGATTACGGAATCATTCCCGCCCTCCTGCTCGAAGGTGGTAAATGCACGCATCTCGCCTTGCGTAGAACGAAGGACACCACCGTCCGCAAAGCATTGACATACAACGGTTGCACACCGTGCGGACGAGTCATTGCACGTTTTGAGACGTGTCTTTTCCCTGAGAGTGGCAGTTTGGTAGCGGCCCCCCAGTGCTGTCCCCTCACGTTGGCTACACCCGACGCTGGATTGCCCTGGTGCCGCGGGGGTGTTCCGTCCTTGGCGTCCGGAGGGACCTGTTTCCACCCTTTCGGGATAGAGTCTGGGGACAAATATCGAAGGATTCAATATCTTTGGTCTTGTGTCCGTGTGTCTGCGTTGTCGTGCGCCTGTGTGGCGGGGACGTTCTTGTAAGTAGGGCGTCGGATATTTTCGAGTGAACCCTCCTCAACCCCCCCTTTTGCAACACACCAGATTCAGGATGACAAAGGATGCAGAGAAGACGTCGGAAATAGCCAAGCATGAAGATGTCGCTGCCAGACATGTCCATGACCACACCACTGCCTCGACTGTGGCGCAGGCAGCACAAGTAGGATCCGATGCCCCCCCCTTACCGACAGTCACGACAGAAGGCAGCACGAACTCGGAAATTGAGACCCCATGGAGCTCTCAAAGCAATCCGAGAGAAGGAGGGCCACCTTCAGGAACAACCGCGGGCACGCTTTCCCCGTCGCACGCCGTTTCCACGGCCTTGCCCGACCGGCACTCCACGTGCTACCTGCTTTTCCCCAACTACCAACCCCGTCCGCTCCGGCTGCCCGTCGATATCGACTCCCTCCTCCTCGTCGTCGGGGCCCTCGTGGTCCCGAACCCCAAGGGCTTTATAGTCACGGACGAAACCCTGGTGGGAGGGCACAGTCTGTGGCGTTACCTCGTCCGTCTCTTTGGCTCTTCCTGCCTGGGCCGGTCCGAAGCCAACGAGAGCGGGACCTGGCGGAGCTTGACCCGGGCCTTGAGCCAGTGGGGAGAAAAGAAAGCGGAGCGTCTGGACGCCCTCCTGGGGCCCATACGCTGGGAGCGGGAATGCCGGAGCAGCGAGTATTTCATGCGGGTCCCGAGGGGGTCCTCGGGAGGGCCCTTGTCCGTCCGGGGTACCTTCATCGTGGGCGTCTCCTTGAAAGACCC